CAGTGGCAGAACTATGAAAATGTGTAAAGTTTGCCACTTCTTTAAGTGGTTGTCAGGCTAATCAGACAGGTCTAATCTGTGTTTCAGAGGAGAAATTGTCTTACAGTCCCAAATCTTAGGAGAATAAGAGCATAAATTTTGGCTTGAGGGAGATTGATTTCACAGTGGTCTAAGCAGTTGCTTCCAGTTTACTATATATTAACAGAAGAAATATGTGGAGCCTTCCACATCCTCAACTTCTGGGAGGCTGAAGGGTGACATCAGGATAGCTATTAAATGTATGCTCCATCTGGAAGGAAGGCTGAAAGGAATCTTAGCAGAATAAAATTTGTATTCCTGACCTAACGTGAACTTTTGTGGTTTGTAAAGCAGTTGGATGAAAAGTTCTGTTTCCAAAATATGTAAAGATTTGTTCATGAAGATATGTCATTGTTTAATCATTGCTAGTATTTATTCCCAATTTAGGCAGCTGAAAAGTGAAATAAGTCCATTTTTTAGCTACTTGAAAAATTTTTGTAGGAGTTGTAAGGGGGAGGATGTTTCTAAGGTAACCTACCAATAAATAAGTTTATTTCCAAAATAAGGAAAATTGAATTTTGAGAACATGCTGTAACTTCTGGTACGACAAAGGTGAAAAACAGTGCCTTGAGGCTTAGCTGTACTACATCTACATTTGTTACCTGTATTATTTTCTTGGAATGCTTTGTGTAAGAATACATTCAACCTAGAAATTTTACCTTGGAATAGGTGAGTAAAAATATTTCTACAAAACCTTTTCAAAATTTAGTACAAACACAGTGTTGTTTACATCAGTGATACCAGCTCAGGGTGTTTCTACATTTGTGTACATCTTAGCTTATTTTGTTCTGAAAAGAAAAAGTAATCATAACCTGCTTATGGTTCTTCAGGGTTTCTAGATGAAGTGTGAGTATTTATGTATAGCAAAAATTATCTGTGAGTGAAAAGGAAGCTCAGGAATGTGGGACTGAGGTTTTGGATTGTCTCAGGAAGAGTGGAAAATTTCCAGATAGTTTTACATTAGTAAATGTTTGAGATGTTGTGTGTCACATTTCATTTTGATCACATCTAAGTATCACATCAAGGTATTGTATGGTCTAGTGATAGCTATAAATTCTTAGGTCAATTATGTAAATTAATGCATGCAATGTAAAATATACCTGTAATTCATGAGACCTGTACCTTGTGAGGCCTGAGGCATTATCATTTGCTTCTTTAATACTCTAATTAAAATGCTACATTAAAAAATATATTATTTTAGATACATATTAATAGGGGCAACTATTTGTATGCCTCTGTCCCTAAGGAAGAGTGTGGGTTAAACAGCTCTGTTTTGTTTGGTGTTCATAGACGTGTCAGGATGTAGGTGTTTTTCTGCTTTCAGGCATAGTACATTATTCCTGGTTCTCTTCAGTATGCTAAATGCTCTCGGTAGATTTTTGTGACTTTGATGCAATAGAGCACAGCTGCCTGTGCTTTCATCGGGTGACCGGAGTGATTTGCTATGTCCCTGTTCTCTCATGTCCCTGTTGATGTTACTTAAAGGACCTGGCTCATGACTTCTAAGAACTTCTGAAAAAGACACTTTCCAGTAGTCACACCTTGAAGAAAATCTTGGTTTGACCATCTCAGAATATAAGCTACTAAGGTCACAACTTACTTTTTTCAAAAATCTCCATCCTTTGAATTACTCGTGCTCTTGCCCCAATAGGAATTGCCACCTGTGGCTGCTACCCTGAGGATATACTGCAGCCCCAAAGCAGATGCTGCAGGGCAGGTGTAGCCCAAAGCCCACACCTTTGTTAGGTCAGCAGTGCCTGTTTGTCAGCGAGGTGACCATGATGTGCCTGTGGCAGGAGGAAGAGGCAACAAGCATTGGGGTCTATAGCAATGAGTCATAGGGATTGGAGAGAGGAGAGCTGTTGTTGGAAGGCCGATCGGGCAAAAGAGGCTTGGTTGCAGAGGTTGAAGCAGATACGGTAACTGCTGTCTGGATGTTGTCCGGTGATGGAGAGCAGTTTTGGATCCAGACATGTTTGGCATGTGTGACCAGAATCCTCCTGTCTTTGGCAGTGGGAGCCTTCAGCAGATTAGCAGAAAAATTACTGAAGAACTTAGAGTAGACAAGAAAGGGGTTAAAAACAAGTGTGAAAAGATCGTGGTACTTGATGTCTTGAAATGAAGCAGGATTTTTCTGGAAGGCTTTAGTCACCTGGGAAGGAAGGATCGAGTAGCTGTGTGGGAGGCAATTTGCAGGCAAGTGTACTCCTCTGCAGTAGATCGGTACATTTTAATGAGGTAAGTATATTTGCTCCGTTTTATAGGATTTGATTTGGACTAGAAGTCTGGAAGTTGTTTTAAATAGGCTGCTTTGAGATATAATGGTCAGGTGGAACTATTTGAAGCATATGATATGGAAACCCTATATTTACAATATATTTGTAGGGTCTTAGAAGCTGAGCTGGAAAGATTGCCTCTTTTGCAGAAGAGATTTTTACGAGTAAATAAAGCTCATACAGAGGATATAAAAACAGAAGTGAAGTTAGAAACTGCTGTAGCTATGCGACTTTATTTATTTATTTATTTGCTTAATTACTTACTCATTTACATCTGCAGCTGTCTCTCAATCCATCCCACCCTGCAGGAAAGGATACCTTCAGACTGACATCCTTCTCCTCTTCCCCTCCCCTTCCTGTAGGCTGTGTGGGGCTAAATAGGGCCATTTTTTAGATGTAGGTTCCCCTTAGAGATGGCTTTCCATGTGGGTGGGAATTCCCATCCAAGGATGGTGAGGAGGGGAAGCAGCTGCATTGTGTTCTGCCCCCACACCTGCAGCAGCGAGCGCTTGTGGAAGGATAGGCTGATGTTCTGCACTGCTGTACACGCACCCATCAAAAGGGCTGGGAGAACCTGGTCCTTTCACCTCAGACCCTGATGCTTATCTAGAGTTAACTCTTTCCATTGAAAAGGCAATGCCTTTCTTTGGACAAAGATGCCAGCAGATGAGATGCATTCAGCTGATGCCCTAAATATCAATCAAGCATAAGCTTGAGGAATGTTCCATGTTTTCTGGTATTTGTCATTTTGACTTTTTCAGTTCTTTCTTTTGCTTTTAGTCATGCTCTCTGTGACATGTGTCCACTTTCTCCTTCTACTTACTTAGGTTGATATCTTGTGCTTTCTTTTGCTTGTTTTTGCTTTCCTTCTGCTGTAGAAACAGCGAGTTTATAATAGCCGTAGCCTAACTTCAAAAGGTGGATCTGCAGTGTTTTAAACAATCATTACATAAGTCATTAAAATAACAAAGACTAAATAGACGTGTCCTCACCAAGCGAAGAAATAATTTCCAAGGGCAGTATAAGCATCTGCCAGTCTCTAATATTGCTTTCTCTCTTCTTGCAAGATCTTCTATGGTTTTTCATGCCTGCTTTAATCTCTTCTTTTCTCTAAAGTTTGTAAAACTTCTTAAAGAATGTATTTTTCCCTTTCTCTACATTGTGCAAAATATAGTTGGAAAAAAACCCCTCATATCTGGGGTTATTCAGGATGTCTACAGCCATGTTCAAGGCCTAACTAAATTTTCAGTACTAGTTTGGTCTGAAAATCTTGTCCTGTGTTTTGTTTCTCCCTGCAAATGTCACCAGCAGGTCACAGGCCATTGCTGTTGAGCAAAGTGTTACCTTTTGGGACACCTCACAGGGATGGCATGCAGGGCTGGGAAATCCATACAGAGTAAAAGCAAACTCACTGTGCTGCCAAGATCTTTCACTACGAACTTTGTCAATTTTTAACCCTGAAGAGATGTGGGGAGAGACTGGCAAGCAATTTCCGAAAGGTTCGGAATTCAGATATTTACACAAAATTTTGACAGGATCATGAAGTGGATAGTGGTATTACACCTGTTTTACACAGAGCCAAACTGAACTGTGGAAAAGCAATTTGTTAGGTTTCACAAATTTGTGACTAACCAAAGGACTCTGGTGATTTATTAGCAGTTTTGAGGTGTTAAGTAAACACCTTCTGCATTTAAGTTGACATATTACTTTAACAATTTGGTTTGAGGGAGGAAAGAGTCATATAATAAAGGAAATACTAATTTGTCTAACCATCCTTCATTAGATTTTAGAACGATGTAGCTGGAAAACCACAGTTACGGTTTCACTTACCGGTAATGACAGAACATAAAATGGATTCCCAGCTTTAAAACCAGCTGGATGATGTGAGTCTCTGGGGCCGGGGCTGGAGTAACGAAGGAGCCAGCAGGCAGGGTTGGACCTACCCCTCTGTATGTGTGTGTTTTATACAGCAGAGCTATGGCTTCACCATCACCACGGACGGCTTTGATTCCTTTCTCAAATAATTCTGAAATAAGCTTGCTGGCAGATACTTCTGGATTGGATTGCCTGGGATAGCTGCTGGGAAAAGCACATTGTGCCGGGCAGCTGCTTGGAGGAAGCAGTGTTGAGCAAAGACGCTGAAAGTCTTGCAATCAAATTATTATATTGCATGAGAAAAGTACTAAGTAGTGGAAAGTTGTGTTTTTCAGGAAAAATTGCACAATCTTTTTTAAGTTCCAGACTGCTTCTTTCACTGGAAAGCTAATATTTATAAGCTGAGCTGATTTTTGCATCCCTTTCATGCCTTTTCCATGACAGAAGCATAAATTCAGTTAAAAATTAAATGAACACACTTCTAGGTAACTTTTGTACTTTCAGTAAATTTTATATATTGCCTGACATGACTTTTGAGGACAGTCTTCGTTATATATCATATCATGTACTGGAAGCCCTCAGCAGCCATATGTTTGGTATATTTTATTGCAATTTTCTTAAAAAATGCTTATTGCTTTTCTTCTGTAAGGGTGTAATCTGTCATTCTACAAAAGTATAACACATGGAAGCTGGGGAAGGAACAGCACATGTAGATTGGGGATAGAAAAAGTTGAGAAAAGTTTTCTTATTTGTGGCATTTCCATTTTTCAGGAATTCTTTGAACATGCAAAAAAGCTCTGGGATGATGAAGGTGTAAAGGCATGCTTCGAGAGGTCAAACGAGTATCAACTGATTGACTGTGCACAGTAGTAAGTATTTCTTTTTATGAAATTTTTAACCAAGAATGTGATCATCTGTAACAAGTTAGAAAATATATTTATATCAGCAAGATTCAGGAGTTTTGCAAATTGTTTTATCATAGTTTGCCATTATTATACTACTAAATATTCTGCCTCAAACATCTCACAGCTAATAAAGATGAGTATGACAAAGACAATTTTAAGTATCTTTATTCCACTCAAAATCAATTTGCATAAAATCATTTCAATGTAAACTATTAAGTTTAAAATTTGTAGAGTCAGTCTAAGGAAAATGCTTTGTTTTATATTCCGAGACCCAGACAGTGCTGAAATTGCTCTGTTCCATTAAAACGTTAAAATTAAAATTTGTTAAACTTCTGAGATTTTTACATAACCAGGTGCATACCTGCATCACTAATATATTTTCTAGGAGGAAAAATTTATAAGCAGTGTTTCATTAACGACAGTAGTACATTTGGCATTCTGTCCTTCATACACATCAAGTGAAGCAGTACATGTGTGTGTAACAGTCAAAATCTGTAAACAAGTTTAATCTGGTCAGAAATGCTCTGAGAAGAGATGTGTAGTAGATTGTGAAGGTGCAAATCATAAATACGTAGTACATTGGTGAAATCAAAAAATAGTCTGTTAACATTACAGGGCTACAAACTCAGCTGTCCTTGGTAACAGCACAGGTCTGCCAAAAATACACATTTCATGTGAACTGCTGTTGCGAAAATGTGTATTGTTACAGTTGCTATGTGATTTAGGGTTTTAGGAGAACACGCTCTAGTGTGTTGTGATTTGTCTAATTGGCAGTATGGTCAGCTACAATGCCACAAGGCTGCTGTAGTGCTCAGTGCTTTGCTTTTCTGTCCTCTCTGTTCTTGGTGCTGAGCCTGAAGCAGAGTAAATAGTCCATGTCACTAAAGGACTTGTCACGCATCTGCCACAGTGGGGAATTTCGGTGTTGCAGGTCATGGTTTATTTTGCCTCTTTCCAGACCGTTTTGGGAAAAAATGATTCATCAGCACATCGAAGCAAGGAAAAATTAGATATGTGTATGAAGGAACTCATTTGACCTCAGTGGATGGAATTTACCAAAACTTGAGGGCACTTGCTCACAGTCCAGAGTGGCTGAAGCAGTGGTTGTACACAGAAAAAAAATAGACAGTTGTCCTAAACGGTGATCAGTGGGTTTTCCCTCTGCCCTCACCCACCACTGCCATCATAGTACAGGTCTGAGTTGTACTTGTTGAAAAGTCTGGACTGAGTGTTTATGGTATCTGTTAATACACTCATTACACTCTATTAGTACACTCTATTAAGAAAGCATCAGACCAAGAAAATTGAATAATGACACATATTTAAAATAAATGAATGTAAAACTTACTTTACTCATCAGTAATGGTTGATGTGTCTCCCAATCCTGCTGTGAAAAATGGTGCTGAAAGGACCAGGCAAAACCAGGAAGACACTGAACTATAGTATTAATGGTAGTGTGCTTTCCCTTAAAAAAATTAGGCCTATCTACAGTCTCATGTTATGTCCCAAACCAAAACACAAATGGGGAAAAAAATGGATCTAGAATTAAGTCTGCTGTCCTGAAACATAAAACTAAATCCTACTACTTTTTTTCCTAAAAGGTTGAAGGAATATTATTACAGGGTTTTTTTTCTGTGTCTCTTCCCTCCGTATCATCTAACTGGCTTGCTTTTAATTTGTTCTGGAATTATTTGTTACAGTAGTAAATACAACACTTGCATAATATTTCACCTTCAAGACCCTTTATGAGGTAGCATTTGATCTTCAATATTCCTTGAGTTGATCTTTGGTTTTCATTTCATGAGCTACCTGAAAATTTAACAGATAAGTGACTTATCTGTGTTTACACACTTTAGTCTTATAGCAGAGACTTGAAACCCAGGAAAAGCCATGTTGCTGATCTGATCAAAACCAGCCTTTTTCTCACACATGTGGATGATTTAAAACAGTGAAGTGTAATCTTAAAGAAAGATGCAAAAAATGCACCCAACTTTTATCTGCCCCTCCATTATTCCTTGAAAATTAAAATTATAGCGTCAATGAAAATAGTTTTAAAAGTTACTGTGTCTTTGCTGCATGTGTGTATTTATATATTGCGCAACAACAATAGTTGCTTGACCCAGAGGAACATTCCTGTGCTGGCATTGGATGTACCTTATTCAGGGCGGTGGGATCATGTTTGCCTGATTACTGACAGAGCGTGTGAGACTAGGTCAGAAATACAGTTCTGATACTCACATATGAATTCTTTTGTGCATTTAGAAAATACTTAGAGAGTGGGTGCTGTCTTTCTGGCTCAGCAGGAGCAGGTGGCTTTTCTCTCAGAACCTGTTTGTGGTCATCTTTAGCTGGTAAAGGAGTAAAGGGAAGGAGTGTAATGCTGATACATGTGCTTACTGTGGGATTTTGAAACATCTGCAGTGTTTCCATTACATTGGCTCTAGGAGAAAGCATCCCACGCCATCAGCTAAGTCCTAATCTTTTACTTGATAGTGAAGGAACAACATTATCAGTAGGTCACCATTTACTTCCCTGCTTAAAGAAAACAATGCAAAACCAAAAAAATCCCAACATGTGTTAAAGTTATGGTTGGACTACAAGTTGGGTGGCTGACTTAAAATACTGAAAAGCATTATTAGCAAATTATAATGACTTGCTGACTCTTAAATGAGTTACAAATACAGTGTATTTTGGAATAGTTTAATTTGGCTACAGTACAGAGCTTCTGTATTTTTAAAACTTAACCTAATTTTCTTTATGACTGTGGGAGAAATATTTCGCTGGAATCAGAGGTAGTAGAAAGGCACAGAGGCAAATGTTTTATTTACATTATGCCTGAAAGTTGATTTTCCTTGATCTTCAATGCCCTTTTAAATTACCAGGGTACTGTTTCTTCATGGGAATGAGAAGGAGGCCCTGCTTGCCAGATCTTTTTAGTGTTCTAACATGAGTCTTCATGTATCTGCACTTGTTTCGTTGTTAAGGAATACATTTAGTGCATGTTGGTGCATCATGTGGTATTTGCAACAAATATGAATCTGTGACCAAGCCACAGGTGAGCAAAGATCATGATTGTTCTTTATCACTACCCACAAAGCCATTTGTGTAACTCTTGGAGGGGGAAGTATTGCATGGCCATCAACCATCTTCTTTCCATAACAGCCTTCATATATTTCTTCAAGATTAGTATCACAGAACTGGCAGGTTATTGTTTTCCCTGTCTTCTGGTTTGATATTTCTTTCAAGTTCAATTTCAAGTTTAATGTAAAAAACTGATACTTAGTTTGAAAAGTTGATTTGATTTGTGTCCCCATTTGACTTATTCAGATTTCAGCAGGTTGGTTCTGTTTATTATGATAAATCTTACATCTTTCTTTGATAAGATTTAACTTACTTTGTGCTGTGTTTGAACTGTGATTTTTGTCAGCAAATTCTAGGTCTACAAGGGACTTCAAGAATGTTATTTAGTGCTGTCTTGGTACTGAACTGTCTAGTATATAAGTAATAGACAAAAATATCTTCATTAAAAATTTCTTGTGATTCTAGGACAGTTTTCCAAAAGTTACATTGTTTCCTGCAAGACGAATATAGTTCCATTTTTTTGATACTTCAGTTTCTTCATAGTAGTTACCAAATGCCCAAATTTTATTGTGTACATGGAAGGGAACTGCAAAGCAAACATCTATAAATGTAGAACAGATCCAAAAACAAAAGAAGAAAAAAGTTCAGGTATGATGGCCTTCAATTATAAAATGACCCAGGGAAAAAAAGGTTGGTGAGTTGATTATGTGTCATTAAATCCTTCATAAATTTAAGTAAATTCCTTTATGTGTCAATAGAGAAGTATAAAATTTCAACTAATCACATACCACAAGGTAGAGTTAAAGGTAGTAACCACCTGTTTGGTGTTATATGTGTTGTCTTCACCCTAATGCTGGTGAAATGGTTTCTGTATGAGAAGCCACCTTTCTTTACTGCCAACTATACCATGTGCTAATTGGTGGCTGCTCTAAGCAGTCCCAGAAAAGTCACTAAAGTTATTTTTTATTGGAAATCAAGCACATGTGCCCACAGACAGCAGTGCAGTTGAAAACCTTTGATAACATCAGTCACCCTTGGGGAATATGAGGCACTCCTAGTCTGATGATGTCCATCCATTGTTTCAGTGAAGTAAGCATGGAGTTAACTTAGTTCTGGTTACTCAGATGTCAGTTATTCAGTTGACTTGCCACAATTACTTGCAGTGATCAGAAAAAAAGGTATGGGGATATATACAGCACTCAGACATTGTCAGGGAAAGGTAGTAGTATTAGAGAGAGGAGTAGACAAGAAGAACTAGGCACTTCGGAAAGGGGAGATAAAAAAGCAGAACATCCATTCTCTTTTTAGGTCACACACAGTTTGCTCAAGGCATTGTTGTTAGAAAAAAAATAACTACTTTCAGGTTTATTGGAAGGTTCCAAAGTTGAATTTTGTCCCATCGCATTCGTGTGCAATAACAGCATGTGTGTGCTTGGGTGGTCCTAGCTGGAAGGGTTGTATTTTGGCTCACTTAGTTACTCAGTGTAGGAAGCAGACCAAGGATTTAAGGGAACCCTGCCCTCAGCCAGTACTTTATCCCAGTTTGTCTATCAGTCTGCTTTCCCTGATAAAATACACCACTTCTGATATACTTAAGTGTGAGGGCCTAAATTGGCCCCTATGCAAACATTTGGGCTAATAAAACTTGATTATGCAAGTTCTCAGGAAAGCAAACACAAGGGATGTGAGCTTGGCCAAAGAAAATTGATTTTCTCTTTGAGCTAATAGACACACCTCATGTTCTTTGTCTTTGCAGTTATTCTGTCTTGGAGAAGAGTTTCAGCCAATTTCTGAGGCATCTGTCTTAGTATTAGGTGGAGTAATTGCAAAAGGAAAACAAAACTTCTTTGTGTTGTCTACAGATTCAACTCTTGATCTCAATAG